TCTGTGTCTCTTTGCTTCTCCCGGTCTGTTTGTTAGCATTGCTTGATCCACACCACAGCGTACAGATCGTGACGAAATTCAACCTTTCTCTTGCGCTGATACTAGTATATAGTCATGGATAGAATATCACGGATATTACCATCCAGTAGTAGAGTTTGTAGTCAGTGTCTATGAGACAATGATGCCCACCTTCATCAACGAAAAGGTAGATAGAAAGAAAGAAAGAAAGACAAAAGGTTGATAGAAAGAAAGACAAGGAATGATGGAAAGAATGAATGAGGGATGGAAAGAAGATAGGGAAGGAGGAACGTACGTAATGAACAAATGAACGGAAGAGAAGGGGAAAAAAGAAAATTTGAGGCAAAGACAAAAGGTAAATAGAGAGACAAACGGAATAAAGTGACGGGTGGATGGAAGATAACAATGGAAGGAAGTGATGAAAAAAGGAACGGGAGAGGATGGAACAATAAAGAATAAAAGAAAGAATCGGAGACAAAAACGCAGATAGAACGAAAGAAAAAAAGAATGAATGAAAGATGAAAAGAAGATATTAAAGGAAGGAAGTGATGAAGAAAGGAATAAGAGAGAAGGGTAGAAAGAGAGACTTGGAAATGAAAACTAGAAGGGGCTCTTGTGGAATTTCTTACCCCCGGTCCTTCACCTCTCTAGTGCCGTAGAAAGTGAATTGAAGAGCGCCGTTTGGGAAACATCGAGAAAGTAACACGACCTCGTTCCTTTCAACTTCTCCACTTTTCCCTTTCAGCAGGAGAGGTTGTCACAACACGTCAAGTGTTCCCGACAACAAGCCGACCATTCACGACAACAATCGGAACGTAAGAGATCCGTCCTTGACCCACAGGTGTTTTCGATCTGGCGGGTACACGGGATTAAGACTGGATAATCCGCAGTGACGTGTTTGTCAAGAAATGTGCCACTGTTGTTAGAGCAACAATGGCGTCTAGCTCCAGTCATTCCGACGTTGGGTGGATTGTACAGAGATCTACGCATCTCTCTCTTTAACACTATTAAACTGGACCAGAGATTTACAAAGTTAACAAACGACGAACTGTTCACATACATAATGTCATCGTCTAAATACCTGGTGATTGAGAAACTCTGTGAATTCGTGTACGCATGTCTCAAGAGGAGAGAAGAAACTAGTAAGCTATTGTAAGCTTTAGAGTTAGATGAATTATAGTATACAGTAGATGTTAGTTTGTATGTACTAGTAACTAGTATCATACAGTATGTTATGTCACCCAATGCATTTAGCCCGGAAGGGCATGAATATGCAATAAACATCATTGTCATTGTCATTGTCATTGTTCATCAAGAATTGAGGCGCATTATTTCAACACTGCGATGTTAGACCCCTGTCAAACATACCCGAATATGGCTAAGTGTGACAGCCGAATAGCCGAATATTCATTTATAATACTAGTATCTTAATTGCTAAACTCTGTTCTCCTGTTACCTGGACGTTACCCATGTTTTGTGATGTAATTTCATGTCTAGTGGTAACTTGAATATAAGCATGTTGCTTGAGTACGTCACCACTATGTATTGTATTTTTGCATGTTGAAATAAAAAAAAAAGAATATGGCTTGCCTCTACCAGGCTTCGGAAGGCGACTGGAAAGTGTAGAAATTGGCCAACTAGAGAGATAACATGCCAGTGGAGTTGGCCCGCCAGAGAATACATTTTGCCGCTCCCGAATCCTGGTAGAGGTTAGAATATGGCCTCCCGAACACTGCTTTACCTCCAACCATGGTTAGAACTATGTCATTTGAGGTTGGCTGGTGTTTGGGAAGAGAAACAGAACATACTCTATGTGTGCATTCACATGCACAGAAAGCCTATGGTAGTTACAAAAACAAATTAGAGTAAGCCTTTTACCATTTAATCCCTCGTGAGAGCAACTTGAATGAACTGTACATTTAAAAAAAAACAATGTGGGTTTTTAGTGGGAAATCCGCTTGTATTTTCATTAGGTCATTGTAGTGCTTCTTTGTAGAAAGAAAAAAAAACATTTACAGCGATTCATTGTACTTAGCTGCTCTTGTTTAATTTTGCCTCACTTATTAAATTTGAGGAAACATTTGAGTTTCTAATGTCGTAATTACTGTGAGAGAGTATTTTCACATAAGAATAGATTAGCAAATTTTCAACCCACCTGGTTTCCGATAACTTTATTAGAATTCCTACGTCATGGGAAGTAGAATCTTAGTTGAAAGAATAGAGTACTTATCGGATTAGGGTGTTATGTTGCAGTGTTGTGGCGTTTGTGTGTGTTATGTTGCAGTGTTGTGGCGTTTGTGAGGGTTGCATTATTGTAAAGAGTCGTCGCCATTTAGGTACGGATAATTGTACTTACCGGTTTTCCCACAGAACAGTCTACAAAATTTATCTGCGTGTCTTAAAGGCAAAGAGCAACGGTAATTATTATTTAATACTACTAGATTCTCCTTCATTGCAAAATGGTTCAGGAACCTAGCCTTTGAGACGAAAGCCGTTTAAACTTACTCTCCAAGCAGAGGTTGTGGGGGAATGATCGTTACCTTTTTATATATGGCCCTTTTTTTGTCCTGATCCCGTCGGTGGCCGCAGACCTTCTCTGGCTAATGGATACTGCCCGACCAATTTGATACTGTCTTTTTGCCACCGAGAGGTGTAGTTAGTAGTTTAAACTACTAACAGAAGTAAAGTACAATGATAATACTTCGGTGAATTAATGGAATTTATATTCCAACGACAAATTCCAATAGTACAGAAGCCACGACAACAACTGTACGGTGTAACGTTGATGCTCCATGTAACGACGATTTTATCTTGTCAGATTGTCAGTCATTGAGAAAGAAAGCCAACCAAAGTCGGACTAAGCTCGGGAAGCTGAATAACTACGTTGGTAACACCACCAGCCAACCGGAAAATAACCAGCCTATTCACAGCGTTCACAAGAGGAAGATTGAGTTACAAGAGTCGTTCTCAACAACAAAAGTCGTCTGTGGTGAAGAACAGAAACACGTGAGTGGTCGGTCGATGTTCACCACCGACGTACTCTCCAAGCAGAGGTTTGGGTTTTGGGTTATTTTTGACGCGTTTTTATGCTTTTTTATCGGGGTTTCTTTTTTGCACTGAATTTTTGTTCACCCAACCCCCCCCCCCCCCAAAAAAAAAATTCCAGTGCAAGAAAGAAACTCCGATAAAAAAGCCTGAAAACACGCGTACGCCAAAACTCACCAAAACCCAAACCTCTGATTGGAGAGTACAAACGACCACACATGACAAGCAAGTCTTTCAAAGTGCACCAGTTAAAGAAGTGCACTTTTATCATCCGCAGTTCCACCATTGTCCACCTACAGTAACATAACACAGAACACTCTGTACTTTTGAATTAGTTCTGTGCCTCTACTGGGATTCGGGATGCGACTGGAAAGAGTAGAAATTGGCCAAATAGAGAGATAACATGCCAGGGGACTTGGTTCGCTAAATAGAGTACAATTTGCTGCAAATATAATGGACCAACTCCTCTGGCATGTTATCTCTCTGTTTGGCCAAATTGTACTCTTTCCAGCCGCCTCCCGAAGCCTGGTAGAGGCTAACGGCGATCCACTTCACAAAACTGTAATATGTTCAACATTGTTTCTGTTTGTTTGTTTGTTTCAACCATTGTTTATACGCGAGAATCTTAAAGAGGCATGCACTATGTAGACCGCTTTTTATTGAGGTCATAAGGAAATAGTCAGACAAAATATATAACAAAGTTACCGTTGACATCATTTAAAGCCCTAATAAATCTTGTAACACGGTGTACCACGGTCGTGGAGCTCTATTTTATGTATGCTCTTGAAAAGAGATCCTATAAGCATGTTTGCTTCTTGTCCGATCCTCATAAATGTGTAGAAAGTGTACTCCTCTGTTAAGGGCTGACTTTGTTTCATCAAGTACCATCGAAGATGAAGAGCAGAGGCCTGAACAAACAACGTCTAGGGTGAAAGTGTATCTATCCTCTGTTTCAGTAGTCTGGACGGTTTTTTTTTGTTTGAATCCTCCATTCATGAGAAGCACAAATCGTCCCGCAGGTCGCTTTTTATTGAGGTCATGATGGAAGAGGGAAGGGTCAGACATAATATAAAAAGATGCAGCAGTGGATGCTACCTGAAACGTCTGACGTTCCAAAATCATATCCAGTTGCTTGAGTAACTGTTTTTTGGTGTATATTATCACCTGGATGTCTAACCTTCACCGACGTACAAGTATGTAGCGCTAGCAAAAATGGTTTACCTTGGGCGTTTAGGTTAAGGTTAAGTTATATTGAAATTCAATCAGTCGCAAGAACAGATCTAAATAACTCTGGTGAACCGGTAAATTCCCTCACACAATGCCAAAAATTTGGGCAAATAAAGCTGGTTAATGGTCTACTACATTTGCCTTGACATTACACAAGGGTCACTGACCGATTAAAGCTTGCTGACCACTCAAGTATATGTATCTATGGCAATCACTCGAGATCTTTATTTGCAATCAGATACAGATTCACGTACAGATACAGACTCATGTACACAGATTCACGTACAGATACAGATTCGTGTACAGACACAGATTCATGTACAGATATACAGATACAGATTTTCCGAGTATGATGACCGTGTCAGTCCCTACACCTGAGTGAGGGTCACAGTTGACACGGTGGCCTTCGCGTGGATTTGTTTAAGGTGGATAACAAGTTGCGAATCTGAGACCCACACACTTTGGGCACCACTCAAGTACATAACACGTTTATCATGTTTACCTGCATACTACTCCAATGTCTACCCCGAAGCTGTTAAAACTCTTGCTAACGCTGTAACCGCTGTTCTGGAATTTATATTATATTTACCCAATTATATACATCAATCAAATGCAGAATGTGCTAACAAAGGTCAAATAGGAGATTTCTGGAGACCATTGGCATGTGCAGTGTTCGGGAGGACTTTTTTTTGACAGGGGCTTTACTTTCGTCACTTAGACAGGGGCTTTGGTTCAAGCACGCGCTTAGAGCTGTGTGCTTTCCTCTCTTCTGTTTCTTTTCTTCTGGAGGCTTGCCTAATTCCTCGAAGAATGTTGAGAAAGTTTGTACAGCCGTCAGGAGGGCTGAGTTGGAGGAACGGGAGGTCAACGTTCTCTCGACCCTTCCTCCAACTGAGGAACAAACATGTCAGACGGTGTTTGAGGACGTGTTTAGCCACTTTTCAGTTCAAACCGACCGTGGATACGATTCACGGGTATAAAGCTGTTTTTGTAGCCTCTACCAGGATTCAGAGGCAGCAGGAAAGAGTGAAAATTGGCTAAATAGACAGTACTACTTTTGGGTTTAGGGTTATTTTTGGCGTGTTTCTTTTTTGCACTGGGGCCTTTTTTTCACCTGACAAAAAAAGAAAGAAACCTCCGATAAAAATACCCCTAAAACACGCCAAAAATAATCCAAAACCCAAACTTCTGCTCGGAGAGTATCATAGCTAAATATGTGGCATCCCCAACACTTTCAACATAATTAGAAATAATCATTCTTTGACAAGATTCCTACGATGGCAACCGCTAAGTTGGATATTGTGTATTTTCCCATACGAATGACCTTGACAAGACCTAAATAGCAGTATAACATTTCATGAAGCACAAAAGTTACCCCTTCAAAGTGCCGCACAGATAAACAGGAAAAAGCTAATGTTTCAAAAATAACAAAGAAACCCACCACACCAGAAACTGTGTCTTGTACCAACGACGTTACTTAATTGAAGATTAAGCTGGTAAAAATGATCAAAATGCGACTTCAACGACCTTCAAGTAGATACTTTCAAGTAGATACTCTTAAAAGCAACACTGTCGCAATTGCTGAATGAAAAGAAAAAAAGACTTCGAAAGAAGTGAGCATGAAAGGCACTAAGAACACAACAAAACAATGTAGCTTCCTCCCTGACTGTACAGTCGCTCGTTTAGTGAATAGATGAAAGACCTTCCGAGAGACAAAGTGTTTGCATGGAGCCAATTATAGCTGTGTACTTTCTAGTCAATTGGTAGTAAGAGAGATAGATTCCAGTTTAACATTTACACAGCGATACATTTAGGGTCCTTACAGTCGCCTTTTCATCTAGTACAGTCACAATGAAACCTGTTATTTTCTGAGGTTTCAAACGGTAATATTGACGTAGAAACTCTTTTGAATAATCTGCGATTAGTATGCTAAATGGTTAATAATGCTTAGTGGATATTCACTTTTTGTTTGTTTAATCATGGATATTTCTTTTTTTCTTTCCCTTCGTCCCTCCTTCCTTCTTTTCGCTCTATCTTTCATGCATTCAGATGTACTAAGGTCAGGCTTCAAATGACTTAGATACTCGGACCAAAAACTGTCAAAACATGGCTACAGGCCAGCATATATGTGCTATATATGCTGCGCATGCAATCTAATGTTGACACAGTTACAACCACTTCCTTTGGGACAAAAATACGTCCAACATTCACCAAGAAAGTCAATGCCAAGGCTTCTTAGAAGCATTCATATTTCTTCACCCTACCATTGTTTTCACCGTTTTCATCGAAGTATATATTCATAACAAGAGGTTACATGGGGATCAAGAACTTTGATCGTAATCTCATCCATCTTCAGATCTTCGCCCAGTCGACAAGACAGAGTAAATATAGAATGTTTGCTCTGGTATCTAAACATATTAACCAACCACTCTGCGGTAAGCCCATAATAGGATTACGTTTTTGATTGATCTCGTGGTCCTACACCTTTCTTCTGTTTGCAAAAAGTCGTCCCCTTTCTATTTTAGGCCGTACTTTATTTGTTTGGTAGTGATAAATGACAAAGCAACGTTAGATAGGAAAATATTTTTGTTGTTTATTCTCTTTTCTTATGTATCAATATTGGAAAGGGTGTGCATGAGAATTTCGTCACTAGGTGAAAGGTGACTGTAGCATGCAGATTCGTAGAGCCTTGTGTGTAGCTTTGGAATGCATGTGTATACGAGCACGTCGGCAGAACGTACTGCACCTGCGAGAAATCCCCATTTTTCACGGTTTTCGTTGGATAATTGGTCAAGGTTTCATCAGGATTTTGCCTGTAGCAGATAACATCTGGAAACTACAGACGGGATATTGACCTCATATACACGAATACGACCTTATACATGTATGAGACGTTCTGCCGAAGTGCTATGCACAATACATTACGGGTTTCGCGCAGGTGCAGTACGTTCTGCTGACGTGCCGTGTATATGTACGAGTTTTAGGTAAGTATTCCACTGAGGCTAGATCACTGAGAGACAGATTTGACTCATCTCTCAAAGATCTTCGAATGATCTTCCAATGATCTTCCAATGATCATAATCATCTCTCCATGATCTTTCAAAGGTCTCAAGGACCAATGACGCTTTAGGTGGCCCATAGGCGGTGAAATATGCCTTAGCTGTTTACTATGAAATATTAGTACTATATAACGTTTTCTGTAATTGTGAGGCCGTATATCAGCCTCGCTATCTGGGCTACCATATATTGTCTAGTTGCAAGACAAATAGAATAAATGCTACAATAAATACTATGAAATACAGTGGCTTTGCTGTGCTTTAGCTCTGTGGAATTTAGTGGCCCTGTACTAGCTGTATTGTTGTGGATTTACGATCGCAAATAAAGTCTAGGTTGAGAGGGGTTGTAAAGTTTTACACACGGTTGGCTGACCGGTCAAGGTACAGGGCAACGTGAACATCACCCCACTTCCCTAGCATGTAATAACGTTATAGATTTTTGGCGACGCCTAAGAGAAGGTAGCAATGTCTATCACTATTCAGGTCTGTGGTACCCAACGAATTCTAGTAGCTCAGCAAGACAACAACAAACAAGTAACAGATTATACGTCGATGAAGGTTAGACATCCAGATAATACGATACGCCAAAAAACAGTTACTCAAGCCCAGTTGCTTGAGTAACTGTTTTTTGGCGTAAGTCACAGATATAAAATAAAATTGGTAAAATAAAAAAAATCGCACCAGTGTAAATTGATATCATCACATGAACTCAGTACGTAGAAGTGCTCTGCGATACGTTTCTCAGAGTAGATATAATCACCAATTGCCACGTCACGTACCGTAGGTGGTATGTGTTACACCGGAGGCTTTACCGGTTATACTACGGATATGCAAAGGAAAAGCAAACACCTCATCTCAATTCGGCCTGTTGGTCTAGGGGTATGATTCTCGCTTCGGGTGCGAGAGGTCCCGGGTTCAAATCCCGGACAGGCCCTGACAGTTTTTTTGTATGCAAAAACAACATTCTTTTCTCCGAGTGCTACTTTCTATTGCTTTATTACTGCACTGAAAATCTGATAGGGCGGCCGACGACGTGAAAATACCAGCAAAGACAAATCGCGTACTGTATCAGAAGCGCCCCCTTCCAAGTCAGCTGAAAACTGCAGATAAGTAAGTTTTCTTAGAGCATGATAATTCTAAAGCCAGTGTTAAATAAAGATCATTGCCGTGACTTGAATGAACTAGCAATGTAATGTTGTAAAGTTTCTATTCAAAATTGATTTTACTAAGGAAATTTCTTCTTCTTCTGCCTCTGCTTTCGATTAAGAACTTAGGCCACACCGACTTAATTTTATGGATGACATCCGCGCGCGCATTGATTTTCGCCTGTCGCCCTCAAAAAAAAAAAAAAAATGATCACCTCCACCGAGGCTCTGGTCTGGGTAGTCCATGGTAGTTAGCGACAAAACGGATCCGAGCACCCAGGCTATCGAATTCGAAGCTCCACGACTCAAGAACTCAGTACATACGTACAGTACCGTTTCATAAATGCCGCAAGAACCCAGCATGTGCCGGCTTGTCGTATACGTCGCTAAGTACTGTCGCGAATTCACAATAACAGCTTTGTATTCCTGTGGTTTAGCACCATTTTTATTTTTGGCGAGAATTTTTTTTATTCGCCCGCGCGCACTAATTTGGGGGTCTTCAGAGGATGTCATCCATAAAATTAAATCGGTGTGGCCTTACGGCCATTATCTAACCAGGATCTAGCTAGCTGTGTTATAGGCGTAAGCAGATCCATATGTCGATACCAGCTGTACAGCTGTGACAAGAAGACACTTTCATGTTCTCAGTTTGTAGACAGATAAAGAAGACGGCCTGTTGGTCTAGGGGTATGATTCTCGCTTTGGGTGCGAGAGGTCCCGGGTTCAAATCCCGGACAGGCCCTTGCTTTTATTTTTTTTATATACAAGTGACCGCTGTTTATTACTTTAGTATTTGAAGACATATGCAAATTATCGGTAGACAAATCCGCCAACCGTCACACGATTTTGACCTAACACTTTAGATGGAAGCACCTTACAGTCAACTAGTGACTTGCCTAATGAACATCTACATTGTATTTGTTACCAGTTAAATAATATAAGAGCTTCATTTCACTTTTATCTATTATAACATGAGCAGTAGGTATATTAAGGCATTGTCAACATTAAGGTTTTTTCCCTATCTCTTATTTTTACACGGACCAACATGTATACTGTAGACGCCATGTCTGTGTTGCTCCTTGTGAAACCTGTACTCCCAACCCATATGGTGATTCCCGCCTCCATTTTGTACAAGAAGATTGACGTAAGATAAGACATTGGCAACGTTCAGATTTTGATAAAGTCTTTTCCCTATTTCTGATTTTTACACGGACCAACATGTATACTGTAGACGCCCTGTCTATGCTGTTCATTGTGAAACCTGTACTCCCAACCCATATTGTGATGTCCGCCTCCATTTTGTACAATAGGATTGACGTAATCGCCGGGATAATAGTGGTAAGGAAGGGGGCGGTTCTTCAGGTCTTTTTGGAAGGGGAAGAAACCGTAGAGGTAAAGCTTTTCGCAGAAGGTCGTCAGCACTAAAGTAGTGAAGAGCCCAACAGTCGGCTTCCTTCTCCAGCGTTGACCTGATATAGCCGACGCGATTCTGAAAAAAAGAAGCTCTTAGTGTGTTTCTCGTAATAGCTGTACAAGTTACAGAATACATACATACTGTAACATATCTTTATAAGTCTCTATACCAGATTTAGGCCCCGCGTACCTTTTCATTAGCCTGGGTACCATTCTATTTGTATGCCGGGGATCTCATACTCGCTTCCTAAAATATCTTATAGGGAGCGAGTGTGGGAGCCCTGGCAAATAAATAGGATGGTATCCAGGCTATTTTTTATACTTAATCGAATCAAATTTGAGTTAAGATTGAGTCAAATTTGAGCACGTTATGATACATATCAGATCAAATGATAAGGTTACTTACAAGTTAACACTCCTGGTTTTAATCATTCCGATGATTCTCGACTTGGTGTTCAAGAGCGCAAACGACAAATTATATCGTGTGAGTGCCCCTCTGAGTTTGCTTTTCGACGAGCTGTCCAACATCAGTATTGTTTCTCTGATAAAACGAACGCGACTCTCGTACACATATTTACTCCGATTCCTCATTATAGAAGACTTGTACATCCGATTGGAAGTTTGTGGGCTCACGATTGTCATGTTGGTTCGCCCACCAACGTCATTTTCGAACCCCGAGACGGCCGGGAGGTCCATCCGTACCACGAAGTCTTTGGAGTCAATTTCGTGACCGCAGTTGCTACCCAGGAGGATCCCGCTGTTGCCCACGAGAGAGCACGTCTTCTGGTGACCAACGATGTCTCCGGCCCGACAACGCCGTTTCTTTGACTGACACTTGCTTTTCTGTGGAGGGTTTCCCAACCAGCCAACACGGAACTGACTGTTGAGACTCAACCGTGCTGCGGCGGCTCTGTAAAAAATATATGTTTGTTTGTTTGTTTGTGCCTTTCTTTATACTCGATATACATCTACAGATAGATCACTCAATTCGGCCATCTTGGCCGCTTTTTTAAAAATTCATTCTTTATTTCAGGCCAATGCCCATATCATATCTAAAAACAGACAAACAAAAAGATGGAGGCATACCATTTTTGTGGGGGTCAAGTACTAATTTAAATGTTACAAATAGAAACATAACGCTTGCAAAGCAATTACACAATGTTACGTATCACATTGCCTTGTCTAACAAACTGCTGACTAAAAAAAATCATGTATGTGGTGACCAGCCCCTTTAACTCCTGCAACTTGAAACATAATGTAACTCAACACCACAGGGTGTCTGCTACAGCACCAGTTACCATGGTGACAGGTGTCTGGTCCAGGCCATTGACGTTATATGTTTGGAGGAGAAGAAGAAGAAGAAACAGAGCAAAAACAATATGCTTTCCTTCTGAGTTAGAATGTAAACATATGACATGTGCACTTTACTCATATAGTGGTAGATGGAGAAAAAATGTGCCTAAAGACTTCATGTCTTTTACCAGCTCATGCAGACGAACTTTGGAATATATAGACAGACATACCGTACTTTATCCGCTGCCGTTTTGTTGTAAACCCAGCCCGATGTTGATGTTATGTCGTGTAGAATCCGTCTCCTTTTACCACGAGACGTGCTGTTGTTTTTACGTGTCGTCTTTTCCCTGTAGAGGATGGTATCAGGGGTGCCAAAGAATTCATCAGAATTTTACGGAATTCATACGATCCTACTAGGAAACATACGAAGTTTACGGAATACATACGATCCATTACGCGGAAACATACGATCCTTACTAATTTGGGGTCATCTGGGGTCATTTGGTGACTTGCCGCCGCGATCACCGGTTCCACCGATTCACGAGCCAAACAATCACTCTTCAAGTATTATTGTATTCTTTGAAATTTATATATTTATATATATCATAGATTTATAATATTCAGGACTCAACAGATAAATTAATCTCATATACGCACGCCTAAAATGCGATGGCAATGTCGACTTTTATAATGATAACTGACCGGACTAACTGTGCTGGTGTGTTGCTGTATGTCCGCTTGGATGTAACCGGTGGCAAGATTGGCTTCATATAACCACTAAAAAGAAGAAAAGCATTTTTACATAGCCATTGCCGTCTATCTAAAGAATCGACAATGAAAGAATTCAGCTGTTAGAAATTAGAAACAGACAATAGAAAAATACTGTTTCTATATTACCTTAGTGTGTCGCTGTCTTGGTTCTCATACACGAAACTTGCCATCATAAGACAACATGTCACTAATAAAAAAGTAAAAACGATTTTGGGAAGTCGATCCATGGTGTGTTTTTGTACCTGGGAAAAACAGAGTTAGAAAAAAACGTTATTTGGTAACAACTTACTTACGTAAACGTTACTTTGGTTGGTAACAAGGCTACGTTATTCTTAGAGATTATTCTCCTGGTTATCAATAAGCAGATTATAATAACACTGTTCTTTAGTTGATAAGCAGGAAATGTGGAATAGTGGAGAACTAAATAGGATGACACCCAAATTGAATTAAATCAAACCATTGAGAACCCATACTACATACTATAATCTATAACCAAACTAAACTCCTCAATAGTTGTAATAGTATTATGTGGTAATCACTTTGAAACCGACAATGAGCTTGAACTTACCTCAAACGAGCAGAATCTTCATGCAGAACGTCCATGAAGTATAATCCCACACATAATATGTGCAAAAGGCATTAGACTAGTGGTTAACGAGCCGGGCAAAGTTGAAGAGATCAGTCCACTTTTCACAGAGGGGTGGGCATGGAGGGCATACAAGCCGGAAACTGAAGCATGAAAAAACGTCTATCGACTTTGCATACCTAAGGTGGTGGAAGACAGTATCATTGCGATCAGGGAAAACTGCGTTCCATACATGTATTTCAAGCCTTGTTCAATTGTTGTACATCTATCCTGCTTTACCCGTGCACTATCTATTGGTTATGTCAAAGTTAACTCACGAAGAAGAAGATCATGACAAAGGCAAGGTGTATAAATAGAATCAGCTCCAGGCTATAAGTACGTTACAGTATCTATAATGGCAGAAAAATGTTAAATCATGCATAATCAAGGTGGCTTTTGGCTTGATGTACATGGTGGTAACATATACGAAATGCTTATTAATTAGTATACTCCAGTGTCAAAGATATCTAGCTAGGACTAAGGTAGACTTGTGTTTAGACATTACACACTGAACTAGTTATCATATGTCAAGTGTCAGTGAACATTCACAATGTCTGAACCGTCGTTAACTGGATGATCGACTCATACACAGTTGCTGAACCTTGACCTCCCATATGTCTCTAAATTGTTTAGGAGCTAGGAATCGGATTTAATTGATGTTACTTGTACATTGTACCTCTGATTTCTAGCTCTCCACCACATCACATTTTCTTTAGTATTCATTGTTTGTATTTACAGTTATGCATATTGGAATAAAATGCAGATATATCACGCTTTATTTCAATTGCAAGGTTAGTTAATTTAAGATATTGTAATTTGCTATGTATATTGTATTAGTATGTATTTTACTATAAACAAGGACTTCAGGAATATTATAATTACAATTCTGCTTGTCTGAATAACAACAAACAAACAAACATACAAACAAACATACAAACAAACATACAAACAAACATACAAACAAACAAGACGAATAACAGCATGTCAAGTGCAACTGGAACATGTTCATTTCAAAGCGTTGTTTTATAAAATGTTTTATTCGTTGGGATACAAGACAGTTTCCTTCGGATTACAACTATGCAGCGAATAAGGAAAGAAACGATTTCTCAACATTAAGTATTTTGATTCCTGTATCAAACCATCTCTGTAGAAATGTGTTAGATAGTCCAACATAGAGCAATAGGATATCTGTGGGTTACAGTATACACAGTATGGTCTTACTGCGTCCATGAACGCATTCTTACGGTGCGTTCTTCCTTGATACTTCGACGGGTCGATGTCTTGTTGTTTCCCTAGAACTCTGATTGCCCTCTCTGCTTGCAGAGCAAAGTGACATTGCGACGTTCTCTTGATGAGTTCACAATCTTCTAGGTCAATGTCAAAGCCAGGACTCCATCTTGATTCGCTGATTTTCAAAACAGAACCGTAGACAGAACAAGCCTCTCCTCTCAATAGTTGATCACAGTGTTCCTTCATTTTCGCGTTTACGTGTCTGAAGAATCTTAGTTCACCGTTGAAGTCGTTTTCAGATCGTTCTATTTTGTTCCAAAGGGTTTTGTTGAAGTAGTTGTATAGAGCGTAGTCAACAGAACTCCATTGTTTATGTTGTTTCTTTTGTGTTGTTGGTATTTCGACATGGCGCCATGAGTAGTTGCGATTGTTTGCAACATAATAAAGGATATCTTTCAGAGTCCAACACATTTCACGTTTCAGTAAAACCAGCGATTCGTCGAAATGCTCCATGATCATAACTAGTGAAAACTGCCCTTCGATTTGGCGAACGAAATCTTTGGATATCTTTTGTTTTTGTTGTTGTGTTTGCAGTATTTTCATGTTTTCTTGCATTGGGAACCCTAGATCAACTGCCATGGGATTCCTAGTAAAACAAAAAGGATAGCGAGAACCGTGGTCACATTTCATATCGTATTTCTCCGGACTGTCCAGGAATGTTGCAATGCCAGCTGGTCCATCCTCACTGATGTTAAACTTCGAGGATAGTTTGTAGTAATTCCATACTGACTTAAGCTGGCTGAAGGGCTCTCTTAGTATTGTGATGTACACTGTATCGTTAGGGAACATACTTCTGAACTTTTGACTGTTGAATATCGTATGGTAAACCCAAATGTCTGGCTTGCCCTTTGGCAGGGCCATAAGATTCTGCGAAGTCATACCATGGGGATACGCCATGCTGTTTTTGAATGGTTTGGGCAAAAGAAACGTCAAGTTCTTCCTGTATCCGAAACTGTTGATGACATTTTTGACGGTGTCTCCTCCTACTTTGTGGTTCTTGGCAAGGACAATGCGAGTTTTCACCTTGCAACGTTGCCATGGATACGTCTGTAAAACAGTCTGTAATTGGTCCTCCAAAGGCCTATCATGACGTCCAAGGCCATTGACCCAATCAGAGCCACTGACGTACTCCCTTTTTAGACGTCTGTCGCTGGTTCTAATACAGAAAACAGTGCGCATTAGGCTATTTTATAGACCTCATTGTAGCTAGCTAGCTAGCTACCCAGATGGATAGCTAGCTAGCTAGCTAGCTAGAGAGAAGGGTGGGTATAGAGCCGCTAGCTAGCTAGAGAGAAGGGCTGGTCTAGAGAGAAGAGTGGGTCTAGCTAGCTAGCTAGCTAGCTACCCAGATGGATAGCTAGCTAGCTAGCTAGCAAGAAAGAAAGGTGGGTATAGAGCCGCTAGCTAGCTAGAGAGAAGAGTGGGTCTAGCTAGCTAGCTAGCTAGCTACCCAGATGGATACTAGTAGCTAACTAGCTAGCTAGCTAGACTGGAGAGAGGGGTGCGTGGACATAGAGCCTAGTGCTAGATAACATTAAAAGCTTCACATCTACAGTTATTGTAACAATGGTCTTACCAAGCATCGTCTAAATCATGAGCAAGACAAGGAACAGATTGGTTGTGGAAGGGGGGGGGGGCGGCACCGAGACTGGCATCTGACAAGAGACATTAGAGAACAAATGACAACCGTCTTAACACAACTAGCTACTGATTTGCATCGACCATTATGATGATATATACCATTTATGAAACATGCAAATTCATATTGCAAGACAATTTAGCAAGGATAAAGTATACCTCATAACATACCTGGGAATCAAGAATATGGCAATAGTGGTAACTACAACAAACACTAGGAGCAATTTTCGTCGTGGAAACCTGGAAAAGATTCACCAACAATAAGTTCAAAAGAGTCAAGTTGCACAGAGGCACATGTCAATGTACTGAGTTATGTGCATGTGCGTATCTAATTCTTTCAGAAAATTAGTTAAGGTGACATAATGCTTTTGATTGATAAATTGTGGCTTGACTTCTTCTACACGATGCTTGCCTTGCCAAGAATAATGGACATTTACAAGTACTAACCCGATAGTTAGAAAACTATTTTGAAAAGTACCTGGCCACCCAAAGCAACATACTGGCATACCTCATGCCTACTAGCAGGTGTAAATATGTCCTAGCATCTAGAGATCCAAGGTCCAATAGAATGCAGGCTTGCTGCTGAAAATTAGAATATGTTGAAACTCGAACATGAAGTCTTTCAAATCAGTAATGCATCATTTTTATCAGGTGTATGTAGTATAGGATCTCAATGTACGATGGGGGAGGGGGGCACCTTTGGCTAGCTTACAACATGTCAGATTCTTCACCAATCAAAACAAACTCACAGCTGTCCTTAACCTTTGAACTCCATGACCGGTCGGACCGCCATGTCTCCATGCCGTGTGACCTATCACTAAGGACTCGTCTTTGGATCCGACAAAATGCCGAAATCACGGTGAGTTATGATCAGACTGTCAAATAAAATCCATTAACACTATATGTAGTAATTAGTTGGGGTAAGATAAATGACCTGTATTTGTGTCTATGATAGCTTGATCAGGTGTATTGTCACCCAACCATGAAGTGAGTTTCTAGTAACCTTACACAAGCTTTTGATTTGACAATGTATTTGTTACTGCTCGTTTTTTTTTCATCCCAATTAAAAAATCGTCCTTGTTGTTATATATCCAACATACGGTACGCCTGACATTACATCCTGACCTTTTACAACAAGATTTCTAGTCAGTTTGACCCCTTCATGTGCGTAATACACGCGCAGCTCGACTGGTTTGTCTTGATCGTAAATCAACATCAAATAGAAAGACCGGGTGATTTAGAGTACCACAGATCATTAGATGGGGGCCCGCATGCCCTTTTCTGTGGAGCGTAATCGGCCGTTTTAATTCTACGTAGAGCGTAGACGGACCGCTCTAATGAAACGTAGGGCGTAATTGGCGCATTTTGCGTAGAGCGTATTCGCCGTTTTAATTCTACGTAATGCGTTGTAGCCACTTGGAATTTAACGTAAAGCGTAATAGTGAGAGTTTCCTAAATACAGAGTAATACGTAGCCAGCTCTCAAAATTTAGCATAGAGCGTTGTCGGGACCCCCATGCTGGCCCTCTTAGATGACTTCGCCACGCTTAAACACTTCTGACTAAACTGTGCCTAGTTCTACAAGACAGAACCCAGACTTTCTGGTTCGGTTAGTGTACCTAACTCTGTACGCTACAGAAAACTGTATCAAATACGGGCCGGCCTGCCTTGAGGGTAAGTATTTTACTACTTGTGTTTTACGAGCATAATCAGCCATGTCTGTAAATCGTTTATGTCGACATGACCGCACTTCTGTCATCCTTCATCCTAATAATCCATACGTAGGCCTCCTCTAGCCTCTACCAGGCTTCGGGAGGCGGCTGTAAAGAGTAGAAATCGGCCAAATAGAGAGATAACATGCCAGGGGAGTTTGTCTGCTGGGAGAGCAGTGACCAGTGTGGCAAAATGTTCTCTCCCAGCAGACAAACTCCCCTGGCATGTTATCTCTCTATTTGGCCGATTTCTACTCTTTACAGCCGCCTCGAAGCCTGGTAGAGACTAGATGAGGCTAGGCCTCATCCTGAAACATCAATTGGATATAGAGGCATTATTATAAACTGTAAAGTCTTATACCAATGTCTTCCTATACTCAAAACAGTGTAACACTCTCTTGGCAGGCGGTTACCTTTTGAAGATTCGTGCCTTCATGTCAAAACTAGATTTACCGATACACCCATATCTACGTCATGTTGATTTACGAGTGACTGAGCCCTACGTACGTGCCTCACTCTCCCAGCTCCCACAAACCGAGTGAATAAGAATTGATATACCATCAGAAACACTCAATAAACCCAAGAAATCTGCTGTAGCAGCTAACAAATAGTAACAAATTGTGCAGTCGTTATACATGTCAGCCTCGAATGCGCTTTTGGCATATTTGGCATCCTTCATGCTAACATTCCATACGTCGGCCTCATCCTGAAACAATAATTGGATATCGAGGCATTATCATAAACTGCAAAATCTTATACCAATGTCTTCCTATACTTAAAACAGTGTAACAATCTTTTGGCAGGCGGTTACCTTTTGAAGATTCGTACCTTCATGTCAAAACTAGATTTACCGATACACCCATATCTACGTCATGTTGATTTACGAGTGACTGAGCCCTACGTACGTGCTAACTCTCCCAGCTCCCACAAACCGAGTGAATAAGCTTTGATATATCCTCAGAAACACTAGATAAGCACTAGAAAGGCCGACATTTGCTTGAGAGCAAATGCAGCAGATGGCTTCACCACATCCCCCATACCGAAAATGGATCTATCCTACGATGGCTGCCAATAGTCTACACCCCCATGCAGCAATGGAACCTTCCAATGCCGGAAATAGCCAAAAAGCCCTATTTTACATAACTTTAAAGTGGTGTATGTCAAAATCGAGAATGACATTCTTTGGACATGTGTCCAAGGTATCCCCATACCAAATTTCAGGTCATTCGGATTTAATATTATGGCACAGGAGCCAAAAATGTACATTTTTGGTCCGAAAATAGCAAAAAAGCCTTATTTTTCCCAATTATAAAGTGGTGTATGTCAAAAGCTTGAATGACTTTTTGTAGACATATGTCCAAGGTATCCCCATACCAAATTTCAGGTCATTTGGTTTTAGTACCTGGGAACCAGATCTCAAAATGTATATTTTTTGCCTGAAAATGGCCAAAAAACCCAAATAAAACAATTTTTCAAAAAAATGAAAAAAACGCGTCAGGGTATTTGCCCACTCTACCTTCATGCCAAATTTCGTGTTATTTGGCCAGAAAATGGCAGAGATGAATCCATTTAAAGAAATGGCAGGAGGAGAAGGAGGAGAAGAAACATGAGGGAACACAATATGTCTTCACCACTTTGTGGTGAAGCCATAACAAGAAAGCTGCTATAGCAGCTAACAAATTGTAACAAATTGTGCAGTCGTTCTACATGTCAGCCTCGACTGCGCTTTTGGCATTTCTGTCATCCTTCATCCTGATATTCCATACGTCGGCATCTTCCTGAAACATAAATTGGATATCGAGGCCTTATCATAAACTGCAAAATCAAATCTTATACCAATGCCCTCCTATACTCAAAACAGAGCAACAATCTTTTGGCAGGCGGTTACCTTTTGAAGATTCGTGCCTTCATGTCAAAACTAGATTTACCGATACACCCATATCTACGTCATGTTGATTTACGAGTGACTGTGAGCCCTGTACGTGATCTACTCTCCCAGAAACCGAGTGAATAAGAACTGATATATCCTCAGAAACACTAAATAAGCCCAAGCTGCTATAGAAGCTAAGAAATAGTAACAAATTGTGCAGTCGTTCTACATGTCAGCCTCGAATGTGCTTTTGGCATTTCTGTCATCTTTTATCCTAATATTCCACACATAGGCCTCATCAATTGGATATCGAGGCATTATCATAAACTGCAAAATCTTATACCAATGTCTTCCTATACTCAAAACAGTGCAACACTCTTTTGGCAGGCGGTTACTCGTACCTTTTGAAAATCGGTGCCTTCATGTCAAAACTAGATTTAGCGATACACCCATATCTACGTCATGTTGATTTACGACAGTGACTGTGAGCCCTAGGCTGTACGTGATTTACTCTCCCAGCTCCCAGACACCGAGTGAATAAGAAATGATATACCCTCAGAAACACGTAGTTAGCACTTATGGCACGGTCACGTTTCCAAGCCGGGGCCAAATACACAAATAGTGCTCATGGTTAATTTTCTAAAACTTTTTTGTGTGCTTTGCTGCCTTATATCATAATTTTCGTTCCACACGACTGCCCGGCCAGGCACCGGGTTGGGAAATGTGACTGCGCCATTAATAAGCCCAAAACACATAGGCAAGAAGCCTACTACAGAAGCGAACAAATCAGTACCAAATTGTGCAATTATTACACATGTCAGCATATAATATTTTTTACATGGCACACAAGTTATGAAATAGTTTACCTTTATCTGCTGAACATTACAGACGCCTTCAACACTGGAAACAAAATGATTCGGGCGATGAGCACCGCCTTCGTTTGCCTGGTAGCAGCAGGTCTATTGGTGACATTTCTCATCCTTACACACGAAGACAGCGTCCTTACTACCAACACCAAGAACTTAAGGTAACTTAATACAAGTTCTTGATCTTGAGAAAATACTGTGCAACACCCGTCTGTTGGGGTAAGACGCACAGGGGGAGTGCACTGTGTCGTTATTGTTTCCTCAGGTGCAGGAGTACGACTTCCATGAAGCTATCAGGTTCTGTGATTTCAGTTATGTCCAGAGGAAGCGCGTTCCTCTGACTGTCTGAGGGAAATAGGAGTATCTGTAGCAGTCTTTGTGGAACGGTAGAGCCTTGTAGGAATTTGGGTTGGAGTGTAGGCATAAGATGAGTTTCAGCCGGTGGGCATAGTAAGAAGGGTTTCTTCAAATGCTCTACTATGACTATTTTTGCTCATCTTTTGTGACGGCTCTGTGACTACTTTCAGAGTTATAAAATAAAGACTTAGCTTTAACTTCCAACACACACTACAATGAATTGGGACTTACTTTCAGAGTGGTTTCAACACCAGTCCATGACGACAAGGCAAACATCAAGATATCTTTTGACAAGGGTTCGGGAATGACGGATAAAGACTTGCACATGCTGGCTGTGTCACGGGACTGGCGGTACAACAAGACAGCAGCGGAGTTAGTGAGGTAAAACTGACATTCCACTTCGTCATATGTTTCTTGGACACCCGCTTGTGCAAAAAATTACAATATAGTAGTAAAGTTGGTCATAAAATCGTTATTTTTACAGGAGACATCCTTCCACGGGAAGGTACTGTTTTTGGTCGTTTTTGTGTTCGTAGCTATAACTCATGGTGGGTTTAAGGGATTTCTTTAATTTTTTTAGTTATTGAGGTCTAGAGGATGCGTTTTTTCTTTCTTTCTATCTGTATTGAAATAAAATAATTTGACACCTCCGTGTTGTATGTGCCGGTATGGTATGGTATGGTCTATCAACAGCTGTTGTTCACCAGGCTATACCACGCTACTTTTGAGTTACGTCTGTACTGTGTATTACTAGTATACATTTGTCTAAAATTGTCAGCAGCCGTTGTTCAAAATTATTCAACATATACTTCTTTTTTATTTACTTTTTATCCTTTAGCAAGGCCTCCGCAAGTTTGGAGTTGAACAGTTTATTCTGGTTGGCCGCGCTGGGAAAAATGAAGAAAACTGTGAAGTGTCGAGTTTCGGATGCAAAAAAGTCCTCCAAGCGCTCCTGTCTCCCCAGCACCATCGTCGGTCACCAGAAGACGTGCTCTCTCGTGGGCAACAGTGGGATCCTCCTGGGTAGCAACTGTGGTCGCGAAATCGACTCCAGAGACTTCGTGATACGAATGAACTTACCTCTCGTCTCAGGATTCGAAAAAGACGTTGGCACACGTACCGACATGACGGTACTAAACTTAGAAACCGTGAGACGGTTGAAATGGTCTGCACATATGAGGAAACGGAGTTTAGATGCGTACGCGAGTCGCCTTCGTGCCATCGAAGGTTCTGTTCTCGTGATTAACAAGTTGTCCATACACACACTCTTGTCAGGTCTCCGGCAGTACAGTTCCAGGGCGTTCGTGGTGTTGGCTTCGAAAACAACAAGTCTCGGACATGGGAACGAGACAAGAGGAATTAACATGTGAGTTATAAACATGTCCATTGAGCAAAAATTACCAAATTTTAACGGAAAACGGTTACTGGAAGGGCCCAGGGCTGATTTTTAGAGTACCTCCCAGAAAATAAAGGACTCATCTTTGGGCTTGTTTCTGCAGTTTTGAATACCCAAAGTATGAAATACTGATTGAAATGTACTATTGTGAAGCAGTATGTGTATAAAGATTTCCTTCATCAGAATATTTCAAGTTTTGCCGCTCTGACATCGCATGGGATGTCTTTAACATGATTCCACTCCCTTTCCAGGATCGCCTCCAACATAGCCGGGATGCGGTTCGACAAACTGCCGACTCTCGGCCTCACCACGGTTCTCATGGCCAACACGTTCTGTGACCGGCTGTACCTGTACGGCTTCTACCCGTTCCAGAGAGACCTGACCAACAGAACCGTGCCCTACCACTACTATCCCGGAGACAGCCTGCGCCCGATCATACCCAACGTCAACGGGAACCATAACATGACTCGGGAGTACAACCTGCACAGAGAGCTGCACAGACAGGGGGTCTACAAGATGCACCTCGGCACATGCAGTGACGATTGATCAAATGTTGTCACCTTTTATATCGCCATTTGTTGACTTGATCTATTGAAATTGTAAAAATACAATACACGTAGGGCACAGGCAGCTGTTGTTGGTGTTGTGTCCCACACATATAAAAACAAATACAGAACAGACATGTACAATTCTCTAAGTGAGGAAAGTCGTGTAAAGTGCCTTTCCAAAAGGCACAAGATCGGTGGCATGTCAGGACTGAGTCGAGAACTGATCCCACGACCCCCACGCCGTTTGGTCAAGAGATTACAGTGAAAATAAATATTGAAATGTTGACCTAATGTAAACTGGCAATTCATTCATAGCATCACAGTTCCAATGTTACGTCAAAGGCTAAAAATGAAGTTGGATAGTCAATAATGAATGTTAATACTTTCGTTCAACACATGTACAAGCACACTAGCGTCGAATTTTCAGTCGCACACACGTCTACCATAGTCTCCATGCCCAGGCACGGTTCTGTATAGTCCAAGCGTATACAGAACCGTGCCTGGAGCAAATCTACATTCTTCGATACGCGAAGACTATCCATGCAGAACTGTGCCTGGTCCAGAAACGATAAACCCAATGGCATATGGTTCGCAGCTAAGCTGCAGCTGTTCAATGGGTGTACAAGAATGCACCTTGGCTGATGCCGTGACTAGATGCTTTTACTTTTGGTAACTTAAAAGATTACAGTGAAACAGAACTGTGTCTGATCCAGGTACGATAAACCCATATGGTTCGGGATCCCCATTTCAGCACCAAGGACATTGCCCGTGGACACATGCCTATTCTATGCTGCAGGGTCACTTTACTAAGCTGGGACACGACCGGGCAATTGGCAGGAACAAAAAGTATGACATAATAGAAAACAAAACACACATTCTTGGTATGAATTTTTATTGTTCAATGGTGACTTAGTTCCTCCGTCCCAGTCGGCGTGGCTGAGCTTACCGGCCGCTGCCGCACCTGTTGGTCCCTCCGTTCAGGTTGATCTTGACGCATCCGCCCTTGTTCTGGTCGTTCTTGTTCTGGAGCCAGCGGAGTCCCCTCATCTGAGTGTCGGTGTTGTCCGTCCCGTCACCTCCGCCGCTGTAGTGCCAGCTCCACGCCCCGACGTACCCGTAGTAGTACGCCCGGTTAAACTGCTCTGTGATGCTCATACCACCGCCTTTGGGGTAGGACATACATGAATAAAGCTTACGCAAAGGCATCCAAAGCGACTTTACGGCAGTAGAACTGGTTTCTCAAATTTCTTGTAGTAGTACGCCAACTGGTCTATGATGGTCATGCCACCACCTTTGGGGTAGGACATACATGGAATAGAGCTAAATTTAAGGCACCCAATGCGAATTCAGGGCTTTTTGGTTTTGGAAAGTATGGTCTTTTTGTAGTAAATTGAATCAGCAAGCTGATCGAAGCCTAGATGCCTGGTCAGGCCCATAGCATACTGGGCCCAAAGAAATGTCCCAGTGTGCAGGGATATTACTTTGGGCGCAGTGCGTGTGCTATGGGTCTGGCATCTGGCTAGCTGAATGGGGATGGTAGCTTCGTCCAGCTTAACTCTATTGTGACTATGAGTAAACGTAAAGTAAAATATACATAGGCTGCAAAATGTTAGACAACAGTGCTATGTGAATCTAAAACTTAGAGGGTCTTGTGGCCATTTATTCTAATGCACAGCTAGTTCGTTTCCCATTGGTGAGTATTTCAAATGTCTTACCTCTCGCCTGGCTGAACTCCCCAATGACGATCGGCCGTCCACTGAGAGAGGAGTACTCTCTGGAGTGGGACACCTGTTTTTAGAAACACGAAACATATTATGAACATCACCACTATCAGGACTTCTACATGTAGCGAGAACCTTGCAGTTTCTGTAAACCAATCATTAGCCAGGAGGTAACATTTGCAAAGCAAATGCATAATGTTTACCTTCGTATATTGTCTGCTCGGTTAATTCTTACTCAAACACATTCATATATATGGTCAGACTTTGATTTGATTTATTTGATTTATTGAGATGCCCTTTAGCCCCATGAGGGGCTAATCTTCCAGGGCTCGTTAACAGTACAACACATAAAATACAACAGTACAACACATAAAATACAAGCACTGAATACATACAATCATTGCAATTACACATTAAAATAATTGAGGTTGAGGCCAGAGGTCATTTAACTAATTATGACTAAAATCAACAATAAAACTTGTGAGTTACTAAATTGCTTCGAATATATACAATATTGTCAGGGTAAGCCTTTAAGTTCCATAAAGCTGACGTGTCATTTTCCTGAACTGCCTCTCATCAGCTGCTAATACAGTAGTCTTAACTTCACTCGGTAATGCGTTCCACAACTTTACAGATCTGTAAACAAACATCCTCTTTCCACTATTGTTGTTAGGTTTGAGCAATGAGTAGTCGTGCACTGATTGCCTAGTGGAATACCTGTGAGACAGGATTCTAAATCCCTCCAGCTATAGAATTTTAACATGATGTAATCCAACACCAGTTTCCATGGTGACAGACGTCTTGTTTCGGGTCATTGACCTTTTTGGTTTGGAGAAGAGGAAGAAGAGGAAACTGAGCAAAAACAATATGTTTTCCTTCGGTAACATAATAATTACACGGAAGGGTGCCTGACTGCCGTAGCTGCCAGTCCCGGAGTAGGTGTGGATTTGGTAGAAGTCCAGTACGCCTGCGCGGTATGCGTAGTCTCCGGCCTTCTGCAGACAGTCGTCCGTGTACAGGTTCCGGATGCCCTGGGTGGATAGGGAAAAACAGGAGAATATTTGTACCTTCAGATTCGAACATTACAAAGAAAAGGCAATCATATCAAACATCACGTTGTATGAATAATGTTCAAAATGAAGTTGTGTACGCGTTTGTGTGTGCGTGTATCCATGGATATCATTCAGCACCAAGGTCAGATATGATTGTGTGTGTGTGCGTGTCTGTGTGTGTACGTGTGCTTGTGTGTGTGTGTGTGCTTGTGTGTGTGTGTGTGTATGTGTGTGCGTGCGCGCATGTGTTTGAGTGTATGTGTGTTTGTGAATCTAAACGCTCTTAAGGTGAACACATGTGCACATGACTAAATAGGGACTACCTGATAAGGCAAACAGGTAAGGATACATTTGCGATGAAAAAATGCGATGTAACCTTAAACTACTAGAGGCGTGGTCTCTTTGAAGTCTGCATTACGAAAATAGTCATTTTCTTTCCACCATCAGTACTTCTACATGTATCTAGAACCTAGCAGTTGATGTAAACCAATGATTAGCCAGGAGTGTTATCACGGCGGTCAATTTCTAGGGTAAAGTTTCCAATTCTACGGAAGGGTATCAGGTTACCGGGGTTCCACGCGCGGCTTCCGTGGAGCCAGTCTCAACGGTTAACATTCTGTTAAGCAATAATTAACATTTTTACGGGGACTCCATTGGCCAAATGTGATAAAATCAGCACTGCATATACCTCAAATGTTGTTGTTTTTATTACATCGCTTAAATGTGTGTGGAATCACTCGCAAAGCGTCGAATGCTTATTCTAGAACAATCGACGTGAATAACCAAACAACTGATTTAAACCGACCCCAAATCTTCCAGAAAATCCCTCATTTTTGCATTTTAGAGAACAGTATACCAAAATTAAGATTTGAGTCGGACAGTTTTCTTTATTTCAAAGTTAAAGTGTTGCTAAGGCCGAAAAATTCGCCAAAAAATGCACTTTTTCAACTTCAAAGACCGATAATTTCAAAATGCCGCCATCTTTAAAAAATCCGTCCGACACAGATCGAGATTTGTGTCTTGCCTACAATTTAAAACGTTTCTGAGGTAAATTTAATTTGTTTTTGTTGCGGTTTAAATACCATGTTTGCAAGCATGTCAGGCCGTGTGAGTAAGTACAGGGGGTAACTTATATCCCAGTAAACAACAATTACGATCGTCAAGGTCACACACGATGGCGGCAGTAGCTTCGTTACATGTTACATATCAACTATAAAACAGGGCATAGATGTACTGTCCCGAAATTGGTTTATATTTGTGAAAAACTTGATTTTTTACTGTTAGGAGGTAGCCGTGTAAAAACGGGCTTGAAGCCGCGGGTTTACTGTACATGACCGCGGGTGACCCGGGATCGAACGAACGTTCGGTTCGATTGACGTCATATCGAACATGACTCGATTCGAATGACGTCATATCGAACATGATTCGGTTCGATTAAAAGGTTGGAATATTTGGGCCCAAATTTGACCATCGTGTATTTTAATGTTACAACCCAGGCTATTGTTTACGTTAGCACATTATAAAAGACCTACCTGCCCCTTCTCCGACCATGACCCTACCGTCACCAGGTGGTTCGGATCTACCTCCTTTATGGCTGCGATCTGCCGGTTGATGAACCGGAGCATGCGATGCATGGGGAGATATGTCCTGAGAAAAGAAGAAAAATGTTGACTTAATTTGATTTTGATTTGTTTATTGAAATTGCAACAGTCCAATACACGTGGGACACAGGTAGCTGTTGCTGGTGTTGTGTCGCACACATAGAAACAAATACAGGATAGACAATATTCATTTTCACTTGAGTTTAGTGGGAAAAGTCGTGTTAAGTGCCTATCCCAAGGGCACAACATCGGTGGCATGTCGGGACTCGAACCCGGGACCTCTTGGTTCCGAGTCAACCACTCTGCCGTTACGCCAACAGACCCCACAGATTTAATTTCTTCATCCAGAATATTTGTTGCCGCCCTGACCCTGCATTGGACGCCTTTATATCCATTGGTAAAAAGACTAAGTATAATTGGATTGGTGGTGCCAGCTCACCCGTCCGTGTGCCCGGCCCAGCCGACCCCGCTACCCGCCAGGAAGTCGGTGTTGTAGCAGGGGTCAGAGTCGTGCTGGACCCGCACACTCCCCTCCGGTTCGTTCATGATCTCCCAGCCACCTATAGAGATATAGATGAGATAGTAGAGCTAAGATTAGAGTTGCGCTTGGCCTATACACTGTCCTGCGTCCCGACATAAATGTGGCCTTGCAAGATAAGCATACCTGTCCTTGGTGCTGAACGCCATCTACTCACACACAAACACGTCTGTCCTTGGTGCTGAACGCCATCTACACACACACACACACGCACACACACACACACACACACACACACACACACACACACACACACACACACACACACACACACACAGACACGTCTGTCCTTGGTGCTGAACACTATCTACACACAAAAACATCAGTCCTTGGGGCTGAACGCTATCTACACACAAATACACCTGACCCTGGTGCTGAACACCATCCACACACACACAAACACGTCTGTTCCTGGTGCTGAACGCCATCTACGCACAGATACCTAAATTGAGTGCTGTGTAACGTGTGTTACCTACCCAGTGCCCTCTCGTGTCTCAGCCCCAGAGCCAGCGGTTTGAGCGCCTGGTCCACGTACGTGCCAAGTTTCAGGTCGTCCCAGACCAGGTCGCGAACCTTCCAGAAGTTGTTTCCATGGTGAGCGCCGTTCCACAGCACCAGGAACACCAACACGTTATGCCGCTGTGCCTGGAACAGTAAAAAAGTGCAAGCCATAGGCAACTCATATGAACTGTCATAATCACTACAAACAATGCTATTTGGCTAAAGCGCAGGAATTAAAGAAGCTGTGCTTGGAACATAAGAAATACGTTGTTAAATGAGTCCTAATTATTGTGTTGAAGAAAAGTCAAATCTTCTTTTCATACTGTCGAGTAGGCAACTCAAATCGTGGGGTCGTGTGGCGTAACGACAGAGCATTCGGCTCAGGACCAAGAGGTCCCGGGTTCGAATCCTGCCATGTCACCAACCTTGTGCCCTTGGGAAAGGCACTTCACACGACTTTCCTCACTTCACGCAGGTGTTAATTGTATACCAAAATGATCATTATTATGATCGTGGACATTAAAAGAAAAACCAAACCAAAGGAAATGATCTTTCATAATCACTACAAACACTGCTATGAAGCTGGAAAGAAGAACAAAGAAAACCTGTAACATACAAAGCCCAGCATGTCCTGTAGCTCGCTGATCAGCTGTTCCGTGGCATCTGTACCTGTGACGGAGCCCCAGTAGGAGAACTCGGGAGTCTCCTGGCCTTCCACGTGCAGCCACACACCTAGCGGAAACAAACGGCATTGCAGCGTGAGTCCACCCTGCACATTGGCTCTATGTCGATAGGGGGCGTGCTATCTGGAACTTTTTGATGAATACTATTAGAACGGCAGCCTCTACCAGGATTCGGGAGTCGGCTGAAAAATTAGAAATCGGCCAAATAGAGAGATAACATGCCGAGGTAGTTGGTCCACTAGAGAGTACAATTTTTCGGGTGCGGCAAACTACTTCCTAGCGGACCAACTCCCTCGGCATGTTATCTCTGTATTTGGCCGATTTCTACTCTTTGCAGCCGCTTCCCGAAGTCTGCTAGAAGCTATTAGAACGGTACAATGCTATACACATACGATGAACCATTTGATGCCACGGCCTTTTAAATGGTAGTTTATTGCTTATATCTTAAGTCCATTCACAATTTGCGCCCCCTCCAAACACACAACAATAACCTTGTCGTCACTTACGAAGAGAGTTGCCGCCATTATTAGCGATGTCCTGTATGGCCTGTTCGTATTTAGACTTCGAACTCGGACAGGATGAGGAAGACTTGTAGGAGTAGTACAAGCCTCCACCAAAGTCACTTCCGTACCGACACCAGGCCTACATACAGTAAGATACTTAAGTTAATGTCATTGTCAGACAGATTTACTCATGCATATTTTTTTGGGTTTGCCGTCTTTTAAGGCCATGTTGATTTGATTATATGGATAACATCCTCTGGGAACCCCAAAACTTATGCGAGCGTGCGAATAAAAAATGATGAAGTCTACGTGGTCATGAAGGTTGAACAAATGACACAGAGTATGGTATGGCGAATAATCTACTCTTCAAATTCATTTCTTGACCTTTTTGTCTTTTCCATTTGATTTTGGCATTCTACGACATTGGCATCGTTTTCCAATCTTTTTTTGCAACTTTCGGTATATATTTGCTTCCAACTGTTTTGTACGATTTACAGTATGGTTGAATGAATCAATGAAACAAAATGAATCAATGAACTGAGGTCTGTTTATGTACCTACCATGTTAACTCCAGACAGAAACACTCTCTGGCCGTTTAGCTTGAAGTGCTGTCCGTCCGTGGACAGGTAGGTCTGCCCCTGGGCAGCTGCTATCAGCATGGACAGCAGAACAACAACGGACAGCATTTTGGTCTGACGTAACGAACATATTACGATGGCAGGTGTCAGAAAACGACCACAACATTGTGTAACAGAAGAGTATAGCCTGGTTACCATTCTCCACAGGCAAAATTAGGGATGCCCCATTACTAAGCGTAGGCCTCTCCTGACATGCTATATATTTCCAGCTGGCCTTTCTAACCAACCATTGCCGTCCTGTAGGCGAACTGATATCGATTGAAACTGACTCCGAAAAAATCGGCACCAATGGACCTGGGCTGGCGGACAATATAAGATATATAAAATATATTTTCAGCACCGTAGAGTTACCAACGAGACTACGATAGCCTGGCTGCCAGACCACAGAAAGAGCTATGTCGTGTAAGGAGAGATTAAATGAGTTCTACTGTCCTAAATACAAAACGAGTCTTGAATGTTCTACCTGTGCAGTGGGCGTACCCCGTCAAGCTGCACCCGCACACACCACCAATGCCCACACCCTGTGAGCTAGCTATCGCCTGCGCCAAGTGTGGCTGTTCTCAACCCTCGCGGAGTAAACAGGAAGACTGCCGGAAGCAGCGATGTGCCAGAACAGACGGCACTGCGGATGCCCCGGTCAGATATGTTAACAGTGGGGAGGTCATAGCCTAACTTATCGGTAGGTATATTTTAGAAAAGGCCACCAAGTTTGATGGCTCTAGCGCAAGCCATTCAGACGCTTTTGCCATCATGATTCATCACTAAAGTACATCTATAAATTAAGTAGATATCTTACTTTTGTTATTTGATCTAGCACTAAGAAAATCGCTAGGAGTTGTACACGTTCTTCTATTGATAAGGTCTCCCATGGCTCAAAGTCCAAAGGGAGTATTCTAAGATTATATTCTTAATTGTTCTCTTTAGATTCAAGGAATACAACAGAAGTACCTTCTTTGAAACAACATTTTTTTATTGTACATAATGTACCGCAATGCATGTGCTGTATAAGTAAACCACTAGAAAATTTGATTTTTTCGTAAAGGTGTTATAGCAAATGGATAAGGAAATCAACAATTCCAATAGTAATAGTAACAATGGTATACGTAATGACATGAGACTCATGATGTTCGTGGTCTCATACATTTGTAAATGTGAATTTGTATGAAGGAAAGTACAAAAGTATTCTTTAAATTTTCTCAGACTACATAATCTTATTAAAAACAGCACTTCTTTTTGCCCATGTTACATCAGTAACTTTGCCAGGAATGCTGGGATAGCGAGCAGCAGGAGGTTAAAGGTCGTTGCCATGGTAGCACCTGACCCACCTGACCCAGGGCTGTCAGTGGTCGCAGGTGCACCTGAAGATGATAAATAAACAAAAAAAAGGAATCAAGTAAACAACAATAAGATAAAAGATGCAATAAGTACGAGACTCTTGAAACACTTATATTTACCGAAGGAAAACATATTATTCTGTTTACCGAAGGAAAACATGTTGTTTTTGCTCTGTTTCGTCTTCTTTTCTTCTCAAACCAATAAAGCCAATGATCTGAGCTAGACGTCTCTCACGATGGCAACTAGAGTTGGGTTACATCATGTTGCAATTTTATAGCAGGAGGGATTTAGACTCCTGTCTGACCATATATGTATGTGTTTGAGTAAGAATTAACATACCATAAGCGAAGGTAAACATTTGTTTTAATTGGTTTTCAAAATGTCCTCCACCAGTGATCGAGAGCCTGAACTGTTAGTTATTCTCAACACCACCATATGTGTATGTTAACACCACAAACTATGTATGTATATTTTTCCATACGTTGTACCCGCTACATCTGTTGCGCAATAAAATTCTTCTTCTTCTTCTTATAATTATAACATGTACTAGCGATGTTAGAAAGGGTTAACATACCTGTTTGAGACGATCCCGTGGGAGTGGCACCTGTTGCAGCTACAAACAGACAGAAAAAACAACAAATATCAAATCTCACGGAATCTCGTGAAATCTCGCGTCATTTGAAGTATGCTACAAGAAATTATAACAGATCTGTATTTAGATTCTTTACATTGTCAATGTAGATCTCCTAGACTTTAGAGCACCTTAGTCCCAATCCCAAAAGGTGTTTACATTCAGAAATCCCACCTATGGTGGTGCGGGCTGCTTGTGAGCTGGTACCGGTTGTCCCTTGCGCTCGCAGCTTTACAATGTTACACAACATGTACTTAATGAGGTCAGTAAAAACTTTTACGTTCACACGAATATTAATGGGTGATAGATATGATAGCACTTTATTGCACGATCGTGCATGGTACAGTATATGGCAATTGTGTAAAATTAGGTGTGTATAGTTATAATCGAGGGTTTTGATGAAATTAAGGGCAATCATTGATATATATATATATATATATATAATATATAATAAGAAGTAATTTAC